CTCAGTACTCACTGCAGAGTGACAGAGAGCGCATTTTCTCGTCGACGAAAATGTGAAGTCACGGACGGACGGATGGACGGACTGACAGACAGACAGACGGACAGACGGACGGACATGTCGAGCACAATAGTGCATTTCTTCCATAAATGAGAAAATGCGCTAAAAACACGTTCATTCCGAATTTTTTTAAGTAATTCGAAATTCTTTAAGTACCCAGAATAAATCAGCCAATACCCAACTTAAAAAACACTTTCATTCATGATTTTTTAACTAATTCCAAACCCTATCTGAGGCGGGCTGCCTACAACCAACCAGCCCCTCAACCTCGTCCTTAACCCCCCGGGTTGCCCGTTACAGACCGGCAGCGGGGGTGGTCGTGCTTCGTCGTGTCGGTAGCGTGTATAGGCGTATGCACGGCCATACTCGGAGACCTCGCCAGCCACTTTGGCTGCACTGTGGCACTCAAGGACTCCGTTACGGCTATATCGATAGTGGCACTGGGCACTAGCATACCAGGTACAATGTGGCACTGATGGTTAGAAAGTTTGGTACTTTGCGGCAGAGATGGTTGGAATGCTGGGTACTATGAGGCACAGATGGTTGGAAGGTTGGAACGTTTGCTACTTTGTGGCAAATATGGTTGGAATGATAGGTACTATGTGGCACAGATGGTTGGAATGATAAGTACTTTGTGGCACAGATGGTAGGAACGTTTGGTCCAATGTGGCACTGATGTTTGGAATGATAGGTACTTTGTGGCACAGATGGTTGGAATGATAGGTACTTTGTGGCACAGATGGTTAGAACGTTTGGTCCAATGTGGCACTGATGGTTGGAATGATTGGTACTTTGTGGCACTAGTGAATTGTCTTGCACCGCAGTTATTACGCAGAACCTATGAATGTCTTCTAGGTACCATGAAGAATCGTGAATGTCGTACCATTCAACGAATGGAATTTAGGAAACGAATGCTAGGTACTAAACACCCACAAAATATCCTAACTATCCATTATCACTACAACTATCCTTCAGCTAGAACAACTAGGATGATAATAAACTTTTAGGTCACTAACAGAAAAAAACAGAAAGCTTCACATCAACATTAAAGCTTCAGGTAAAGTTTTGATGTTGTCATTCATAGAGCATTTTGGGCTCTTCAGGTATCCATGACTTCGATGTTGTTATCTTTTTCACATTTCGATGTTGTCAACTATCCCATTTTTAGGTATTGTCGTATTTGAATATGATTTGTTGACGATTTTTCGAAGACTTTATTCTCGCCACCTCTTTCAGCATTTATTGAATTATTTTAGTTTACATTTTGACACAGAATCTTCGTTCTTTCGGCTGCAAACTTGCCGGCAACTAAAAATTTAGTAACATCGAACATAATAATCTAAAAATTGGAGCTAAAATATGCAAATAAGTAATCTTCACCGAGATTTTGAAGTTTTTTGGCTTATATTGAAATTTTAGAAAACAAAACGATTCTAAAATGCAAACTAAACTTCCCAGCAGGTAATATGATTGGAAAAAGAATTTTATATGATATTGAATTGATTTTGATTATATGTGACTTGGCCGTTATATGCCATTAAGGCAAAGTTTGACTTAAAACGAATGAGAAAATTCTTTGAATGGAATAATTTTTATCTCGCATCAAAATTCTCTTAAATTAATGAAGAACCCTCAATCCAAAATTATTGATCTTTATTCAAATCGATCCACAATAATTTTCTGATTTTCCTATTAGTATTATTTGCAACCTAGAACTTTTATTTATTTTTTCAAGTTAACTCTCACTAAAGTTCTGTTGAAAGTTAGCAACGATGGCCGTAATCGTTCTAATTTACTTAAGCCTAAGCTTGTTAAGCCTTACATAATAACTTGTAAATATTTTATGTGTTTTGAATTTACTGAGTTTTAACAGCGTTTTGTTTGTGTTTACTTAAGCGTCTTCGTTAGCGATTTTTCCGCTTCCTAATTTGTTTTATTAGCTTAATGCAGATAACGTATGCGTAATATTTAAAGAAAGCATTATTTAGAAAATCGCATTATTCCACAGGCGTGATTGGATTTAGTTTCATTTTTGTGAAAATTTCTTTAATTAATATTTTCATTCGACACGTTTTCCCTACACCCATTTCATTTGTCGCTGTGAATATTGTGTCAATATTATTTTTTCTCTATATTGTTTTGTCCACTCATTGTACACGCGAGTATTGACTAACAGTTTTAATTAATCGGGGTATGTAGTGAGTCATTTATAATTAAATATTTTTTGGAAATTTATGCATGGATGTTATTACCTTTATTACATGGATAAATATAAAACCAAATATAATATAGAATATATAAAGACGCTTCCTTATCCAATCAAATTTTTAAATCATGTCAATTTTTTAAATATTATATAAATACTTAATTGCATAAATTTCAGCAAGTTCAAATTATAATGCATAAATTTTCACTGAATTTTTTCGAGTCCAATAATTCTTAGAACTAACATTAGAGAGCAAGAACCACACAGCGCCATATGCTACACACCGGTGAGTCGTTCTAGTATTTATCTGGTACTTTTGCATAGGTATTTGTTGATAAACTTATTAACAATATCCAGGGTCAGGAAATTCAGATTCAGGTAATTTCAATTCTCACTATTCTAGTTATTCTTACTTAATATTCTAAGTTCTATGATATTTTTTGATTAAATAGTATTCAATTCTTGTTTTATAATTCAATTTTGCACTCATACTTTGGAAGTTCAAATTTCTACGATACTTCAATTGATTCATATTAATTTATAAAGAGTTCTCCGAAAAATAATTCATGACGTAAACAATTATTTATATTTAACGTGTTCATCATTAAATAAGGAGTTAATACTATTGTCGGGTTTAATGATTCATTGTCTAATATAAATGAAAATTAATTTAATTCTTTTTCGAAAATTTTTTAATAATACCAATTTCAACATAATCAATTTAAATTCCATTTTGAGATCTTCAAGAAGCAAATCATTCAAATTTTTTTAGATCGTTAATTCAATTTTAACTAGACTCCAACATAATGCGAAAAGATTAAAATTTTTGCAGAAAACATTTTTTACGCTGAGACTAACGATTTATTCTGCAAATATATTATCCGTTCTTAAATTCTAGACGCAGTTAGTCATCATAATCGAGAAACACAACTAATTTTGCATTAAATTGAAATGAGAATAAAAGTTCCAAAAACGCTCATCATTTTTCGTTAAAATTGAGTCTGTCATTTATCCAATTTTGAATAAAACTATAAAAATATTTTAGTTCAAATAAGATGAATAATTTATCCAATTCTGAATAAAACCGTCTAAAAATACAATTATTTTGCCATAAACATCACCGTCTTTCATCTAATTGATTTCGTACTTAATTGAAATAGAATAAAAATCCCAGCATATTTTACATTAAATTTGGATGTGTCATTTATCCAATTTTGAATAAAACTATAAAAAATATTTTAGTTCAAATTAGATGAATAATTTATCCAATTCTGAATAAAATTGTCTAAAAATATAATTATTTTACCTTAAACATCACCGTCTCTCATCTAATCCTGCCTGCACGGTTCGGTAGACACGTTCGCCTCGAAGGTCGCGGCCCAGCAAGACCCCTACGCCGACGCCTCGGTCGGTAACGTCACAGGATCGAACGCTGTCAACGTCTTCCTCGGTATCGGTATCGCCTGGACTGTTGCCGCCATCTACCACAACGTGCAGGGCAACGATTTCGAGGTCCTCCCGGGAAAGTGAGTCAAAAATAACACTAGTAACTTGATTTCGAGATCCTCCCGGGAAAGTGAGTCAAAAATAACACTAGTAACCTGCATAACTAGTCTTGAATGAGTCAAAAAGAAAACTAGTAAGTTGCAAAACTAGTTCTGAAGCTGCAGTACTGGTATTTTGCTTGAATAACTAACATGCAAAGTCGCTGGTGGATAATCAGAGAACCAGTAACAGGCTTAACCTTGGTTATTTAAATACACGCTTGCGTGCTTTCTGGAGTTGTTATGGTGGAGTAGAATACCAGCAAGCCATTAACAGGTTGTTTAACCACACAGTTGATATGGTGGAGCAGGATACGAGCAATCCATCAACAGGTTGCTTAATTAACTACATTTTTTAATAAAAACTAGCAGCTTTTTCCGGTGTCGCAAAAAATGCAATTCATGAGATATGAAAATCCGGTTGTCGTTATTTTATGATGCTTCAGACTTCTTCACGTTTTAGGTCCCGGTAATGGTTCGGTAGTTATCACGGATGCCTACCATGTCTGGTATTACGGACATCAACCTGGCACCGCCATGTATTTGGACGGTATACCAGCATTACACAAAAAACACAAGCAAACATACAAACACACGGACAAACCAGTATTCCGCAATTCATGATCGTAATTAAATATATTAGATCGTAATTAGATCGTAATATTATCGTAATATTATCGTAATATTATCGTAATATTATATTAGATCGTAATTAGATCGTATATTATTAGATCGTAATTAGGTCGACATATTAGATCGTAAATAAATCATACTTTATGGCCTTGCAGCCTGGCGTTCTCGGTGACGCTGTTCTGCGTGGAGGCGGCCGCTGCCATTGCCCTCATGATGCTCCGCCGCAGCCCCAAGATCGGAGGGGAGTTGGGTGGTCCAAGGATCCCCAAGCTGCTCACAAGTGCCTTCCTCTTCTTCCTCTGGGTGTTCTACGTGTTCATGTCTACCCTTGAGGCTTATGGCTTCATCCCCAGCATGACCAGCCCGCCTCCTGAGGCCGCCTAAATTGCCGCACGATTGCTTCTACTCATACGAGGGAGAGTAAAAAAATTTTTTCGCGGTTGAAGGAGCAACAAAGAGACCAGTTGAATGAATAAACCTTGTGGTCTGAGAAAAATCGAGAGAAAGTGAAGTTTCATTTTTGGTGATGATTGAAGAAAGGATAGGGAATGGATTATAGCTCAATTTTAACACAATTTTTAGCCCTGCCTGCTCGGCACGCAAATTTAAGAGCAGCGAATGTTCACTTTGCTGTACATCAGCAGGAGAAAAATGTTAACTTGGCTATACTCCCATAGTAAATCTCCAAAACAACATACGAATATAACTTGGAAAGCAAATATCCTTCGGTTAATCAGATAACAATTAAGTTCTGAAAGCTATTGAGCGAGTCAATACATATTATGAAGTGGAGTATCATTATGTACTATGATCATTATGTACTATGAATTTTAAACAGCTATTGTATTTGAATGAACTCTTAAAGGTAATAATACTGCACCATGGTATGGAAATTTTATAACATGGACATTGGACAACAATTAAGCCCTTTGCCAGTTACAGAAATGGGGTTTAAGAGGCTAAAACGGTTAGAAAGGTTCAAAAGGTTGTATCTTATTTCTGCTCGAATTGAAGAGCCGAATTAAGGTTTCTAGAATATTTTCAATCAATATAATGAGTAATCATTAAAAAATAAAAACCTTTTAGCGAACGCAAATTGAATTGTTTGCATTGAAATTATGTTTTAATAAATTAATTAATGACAATGCTTGTGAAAATGAGCCACATAATCTTAGTTATTCATTTAAGCCAAACGAATCACGAAATTAGTGGAAATATTAAAAAAGAATATCATCAACAAAATTAATTCAAGTTGAGACCGGAAAATCAAAATGTGGCTTCACAATTTAGATCGTTTATAAGTTTAGGTTATAGTCTAGTCAACGTTAATTATTGTGTAAGACAGTAACATTTATGAATTATTAACGAGTTTTGTTCAAATTAAACCTTCGACTTTAATATTATAGAATTGATATGACTATAAAAAGACATAGTAAAGCTGAAGTTGAGTGAGAAACTAGCTTTAGTCACTATGACTGTGCTACAATAACTATTACTATGGTGACTATGTGGTGCAACTTACGAGGTGAAACCTCTATATCATCAACTAAATTAAAATTTGTGTGTTATGGAACGTTCATGCATGGGAGAATTGCATTCTAGACAGTAAAATGTGCATTCTAGACAGTAAAATGACCCAAAATTAGCCAGCATGGTAATTGCATGTATAACAGCTGTTTACCAGTACAATTTTTAAAAATACTTAGCATGATTACCAATACTCGAACCATTTTAGCTGCATGTGGGGTTACAGTATTAAAGATAATATTTCTAATTCAAAATATTATTAATTATCGATCGATTTAGTATGGAAAAGATTTTCCTTGCCTGTGTGAAAGGTTACTCAAACTTCACGAATTATCAGTGAGAACAATGAGAGAATAATGTCGTCAACGATGAATATTTCGTGTAACAGTGGAGAAAAGTCACTTGGTTTTTGGTAGTAGGAGCTCGAGGCTAGAAATGCCACCATTGGACAATATATATCATGGCGCAATATACATCATGACAATATATATCATGACAATATATATTATGACAATATATATCATGACAATATATATCATGACTATATATCATGACAATATATATCATGACAATATTTATCAACCAAATGACAGTAAATAGGATTTTTGCGTCAAAAATGTCAAGATTTAACGAACATAGCTAGAATAGATTGAATTGTGGGTTAAATAAATGTAAAAAACGTCCTTTTGTACCATGCGTTAATATTGCTCACGTTAGAACGTTTTTAGAGAACAAGAACGTTATTTCTGTTCAGTGTCTAGTAGAACATCTTTGTAGTCCGGGATATAAGAAAAATATCATATATATTTCGTTTGTATAGGACAATGTCTTGCTGTAGGTATCAGCCAGTGTCTGACGTTCAATTTATGTGCTGATTTAATGGCCATTTGTGTGTTTGTTTTGCGTAAAGTTAAATGGTGAACCTCGCACTGGATTGTCCAAATGTCAACTCCCTTTTCCCTCGTCAAATCCTCTCACAAATTTATCATAATTCTGTACATCATATAACCCGTGTGAAACTTCATAATTCTTCAGCGTTATAAACGTAAAGAGTTGAGGTACAATTGTAAAGACAAGGGTTAAACTAGGGAAAATCCGACAAGGGTTAAACTAGGAAATATGGTCAAGAGAACTGCCTAAGTGTACTAGAAAACTGCCACCCTAGTCTACCAATTTCACACATACACACACGTACTGTATACATTTGTGCGTCTAGATCATTAAGGAGAGTGTGTGAGTGAACGTGTTTTATTTTCTGTTGTCCTGTTATGCGTTTTGTGGAATATGTTCAACGAGAATATATTATAGTTTCCCCGTGTCTATGTTTTGGGTTAGTTTAGTTTTTTTATTATTAGAAATAAACTGGGCATCGGTTATTTTTTTTTTTTCATTTGAGAGCTGAGAATCAATTCAGATTTTGTTCAATAAATTTAAATAATCAATAATTCGGATATGAATTTTCAATTTTTATTAATTGGGACACTATAGCGAACAATGGCACACCAACGCCCATGCCATTAAATTTAAATATATTGGACTTGTAAAAGAAATATTTATAATAATTTTCATTATAATTTTCAAATTTTTTAAGGTATTTGGAGAAGATTGTTTCTACTAAGACGAACATTACATGATTGTTTTTACATGTAAATAGACAATAGACTGCCTTTAGAACCGTCACTACAGTGTCTCTCAATGGTTCTCAGTGGTTCACAGTGGTTCCGTGCTAGTCATTGCTTATAAGAACTGAAAATATCTTCATCTTGAAGATAGTTCCTCAGTCACCAGGCGTCTGTTTCATTGTGTAGACGACTTAGGTACAAGATTTTTAACATCGCACAGACAAAACGTTCGTATCATCATACTTTATGATTGTTCACATTGATCATTTGTATGAAATAAATTTTAATTTATTTATTAAATTTAGAATATTCGGCATGGGAAAATTTCCAATTCAGAGATACCGTTACGTTAGATAAAATTAAATATTTAGCGTGGCGTTTATATATTTCAATTATAGTATTCACTGAATATTGAATTTGTTTCCATGTAAAATATTAAAACATTGTTACAACAATATTATTACAAAATTGTCTATTGGATCTCAAAATTTAGCTCATTTTTTAATTATAGTCAAACATTTTGGATCGATATCGTAGATATGAATGTAACTCTCTTCGATAAGAAAATGCTACATATTAATTATCTTATATCTTAATTAATTTATAAATATTCCCTGTTATCATCTTACTCTCTAAGATACTGTCTTCCGCCGGCATCTCAAAGATAATTATTAATTATTAATTAATTATTAATTATCTCAAGGATAATCGTCATGTTTATGACTTAATTATCTTTAGGCTTCACTTGGTCGTTGCTGCTCGATTACAAACTCTCATAATAAAAAAGTTTATTATAATTATTTTCCTCGTTCAAACAATTGCCTAAAATTTTTATAATATCAACAATGAATAATATTTATTATTGGGTACGTTTTGAATCCAGTTCGTTAACTAATAATTATGAGATTTTTCCTTAGCAATTCGTAATTGATGCTGCGTAAATATTCCACATCACCGATATTGAGAGACTGAAACTAAAATGATTTTATTACTTTTATTAAAATGATATACAATAATTTCAATAAAATTATTTGATTTTGGAAAGGACGGGAAAATAATACTCGTTTCATTGATGCTTTTTCATCAAGATTACAAGAAATGTGAAGAGGGTAAAAATCTTTATTCAAATTTCGTTTACGACTTTTTCTGAAAATTTTTGTCGATTTAGAACGGCGACGAACAGAGGCAGCAACGTCCAATTGACGTTTAATCTTACGTTGCTTTGCACAAACTTTTATCGGAATGTGTGATTCCCTCATTACCTGACCCTTCCCTTAGCCTCTTTCGGGCTCCTCGTTTCCCCTTTTCTCTGTTCCCCTTTTCTTTCATTCGAATATTTTGTTCTATAAGCGGCAGTTTCTATAGCAGTATTCATCTTCTTATTAAACTCAATAATGACCGAGTTTAATCTTGGAGTATTTGCGTCCATTGTTATCGAAAAATAAGAGTCGAGAATTTACACCACATCTGTAATGATGCAGAATTTGTTATCAACGTCCATTAGTCATTCAGAGAAATGCATGCGTCACATTGTACGAATAGTGACTCACTTTCTGCACGTAGAATGGATACGTCTTTTTGCTGAACCAAACTTAGCCAGAATGCTCCACACTTCTTTGTCAGAATGACCCACAAAAGTACATCGCATTTTAGACAATTTCTCGTTGCCGTTTCGTACCACAACGAAGACGCAGTCTAATGAAACAATGTGTTTCCTTCGAACCATATCCGGAATATTTGTTTGACATTGTTTCCATTTTCATTATATTACGAAGCTGCTCGATCTTTGTTTTTTCGAAGTTTTTATTTTGATATTAAAATTTTAGTTTATTTACTTTGGGAGAACTCGAATTTTCCCCAAAAAAATCGCGGCATTGAATTTTCGGTTTACACTATTCTCCGTTTCGTAGAGATTCAGTTTTTTTACTTCAAATATAAGTGCATGCAAAGATTTAATAATTTTTAATAATTTGTTCTTTCTATTGAGTCTGTTAAATTGCGTAGATTTTTCGCCCAACTTTTCATCTACATGAATTTAGTCAAATCGTATGGAATTTTCTCAAGTTGTTCGAGCTCTCTTCATCTTCTCTTCACCACACTTTCTGTGACTTTTTTCACCATTTTCTTCATATTTCTGAAGTCCTCATTTCCCGTCATAATGTTCGCGGAAATAAATTGGTTCGATAAAAGTATTTTTTACTTTCCTTTCACCAGAAAATTGCGAAACATTCACGACTAACAAAGGGACACACGGCACTTCGCGTGCCCGTTGATCTCTGCCACTAATGGCGAAGAAAAAAATATAACTCAGTTCTCACTGCAGTGAGTGACAGAGAGCGCACTTTCTCGTCGACGAAATCGTAAAGTCACTGACAGACGGACGGACATGACGAGCACAATAACGCCTTTTTTCCATAAATGAGAAAATGCGCTAAAAATTCGTTCCGTGCCAGCAATGGCCGGGGAATACAACCATTTGCTGCCACTAATGGTAAAAAATATCTCTTCCGTGCCACTAATAACAAAGAAAAAATCTTTCCCCTGTCACTAATCACGCAGAAAAAGAATCGAACAATCAAACTGAAGTAAATAATGATTTAATACATCTCATAAATATGTATACTAAACAGTGAAATCAGAAAAAGTGCTATGTATGCAGTACAGCCCAGTCAAATAAAGGTACAGAAGACACCAAAATAAATAGACGAAATAAACTTGAAGATGATTGCCATATAAAGAAACAACTTCGATACTCATTATTTTATTTTATTTATCATTTTTATGATATTTAAAATTTAAATAGTTCAATAAATATGTTGGGAAGCTTTTTAGTATCTCTGGGTTTACATTCTTAAATGATCAATTAGTTTATGTATATATGATGATGGGGAGGAGGCATGTTTTAATCAGTCTCCCCCGCAAATAACGAAAATAATAATTTTCTAAGAATTCATCAGGAAATAAAAAATTATTTTAGTGCACAACAATTATAAAAAAAAGCTGTACGTGGACATTCATATAGTATAGCGTACGGTATTTCTTTTACAAATTCTAATAAAGAGGAAAGCTGCATGGAATCAGTGAAGGGAGAAAACGCTAATAATTTCGTACAATTTTTTCATTAGAATTGTTTATAGCAAAGAAAATAATAACAAATAATTACAATTTTACTGTTTATTAAACAGTAAAATTAATGTAAATTATTCAGGTTAAAAAAATTTTTTTAATCATGACGGATAAATTCGAATTGGACATAAGAACTATCATTATATTATCATGTAATATCAGAATATAGAAATTAAATGTGACTCTCAAAAATAGCGTGATAATTAATCAACACGATTTGTATAGCTTAGAAATTTATCAATTTAATTGTTCTAACTTAAGATTGCTCGTCAAGTGATTTGATTAATTAGATAACCATTATTCTCACATATTTGATTTTTATAAGTAAAGTTTTTTTTTAGAATTATTAACAGCCAGCCCAGCAGCCCAGTCTTTTCAACTTCAGGTGTGGAGCGCCCGCGTAGAGGTGGTAGATTTCATCTATATTTAGAGCATTTGTTACAAATTAAAGAATTTACAGAAATCATCACTTAAATTTATATAAATTAAATTAGGTAAAAGCAATCAATTATGTCTTCGTTCTCAAAGCGGCCGGCGTTTACCTTTCTTTCCGTCGTCATTTTTCCCATAAATTCATCATCCAGCCTTAAAATCCATTCCGCAGCTACACGTTACGAGCGTCTAGCAATAGCGCCTCATAAATGCAGTGAACTTGACCTTCCGCTGCCGCTTCTCCCACGGTAACTACCATACAGAATTTCATGGGACAACGAGAGCCTGATAAGCATTTCTTTAACTCGCAATTTATTGTGTGACCAATTTTTCAAAATT